CGCCTGATAGTAGCGACATCAATGCCATGATTGAGAAGGGGTGGATGCCTGACGAGTATGATTGGAGGTTCCTGAGGAAGAGCCTCCTGATTTTCCTCTCCCCAAGAAATCGCAGATTCAGAAGTTGGTGAGGGTGTGAATCGGTCCCCCTCCACGTCGAGGCCTTTGAGCATGGCCAACGCCAGTGCTAAGATCCCCTCCGGTTGCATGACGCGGGCTCTCACTCGAAAGGTGGCGCGCGCTGGGGTCCTCAGATCTCTTCAGGCATGTTTCAAGGGCCAGGACATGCTTGTGAAATTCTGGAAGCTGAGCAGTTCTTTCTCACCAAACACCTTCGTGATCGTTATTCCTTTGGCTTGAAGTCCTGACGGTCTTTATTCCGCTTTCCCCTCTATGCTGATCTCGTGGGTCCTGTATGTCCTTCGGAGGATGGGCACTCCTGAAGCTCTGGTTGCTTTCTGTGGGTCTTTGTTTTCGAAGACCTCTGTTACCCTCTTTGAGAGAACGTTCATTAAGTTGGCTGTTGCACGCGGGGTCCGACAAGGTGATCTCAGTTCGATGTCATGGTTTATCTTAGCAGCCGAACCGACCCTGGCCAGGTTAGAGTGGAAGCTCCCATGTCATGTTGCATTATCGCTCGCGTATGCAGATGGCTTTGGGCTTCTGTGCCTCTTTGACGGCACCGGCCCGCTCTTTACTTGCGTGATGTGCCTGAAGGACTCCATCGGCCTCGCTCTGACTTTCCCGAACTGTCAGGCGCTTGTTGTGTATGCCAAGCTGCTGTTGCAGCCCCTGTAGGATTTCCTCGTGGACCTCGGTGCCCCCTTCTCTCTATGAGAGGTTGCTCGTCGGCTGAAGTATCTGGGGACATAGATAGGAGAAGGAGCTGACCTATGTATCTGTGAAGGGCCCCCAGGACAAACAAATAAATACACACAAATAAAACTATTCCCAATATTTTCCCATATTTTCTGGGTTTTTGTCTTCCCCCCCACTTCCCATATTTTCCCATATTTTCTGGGGAATCGCCGATTAATTGTGTCTGTGTGTTTCTTTCCCTCCGGAATCTGGGGCAGCAGCATCGTTGAGTTTCATTCCATCAAGGGGCCAGGGGCCAGGGCTTGCGCAGACGGTTTTCTTGCTGCGTACTTCCTGCGTCTCACGTTTGTACTGTGTACTACAAGAACCTGAGCTCCCAAAGCGCTAGATTCACACTCACAAGGCGCGCGTACAGCTGCTCATTGCGGGCCCCAAGATTTGGCCTTCTGTTTGAGTTCCCGCACATTTGTCAGATCGCAGCTGCGACACGTGCTGGATACATTGATCGATGTGATGAATTACCCCGCCCCCGTGGCGCATATTTCAGTTCATTCCAAGATAATCGTTGGTGCCCAGCACGCCGCGGCACTGGTTGGGTGCCGTCTCTCTTTTTTTGTTCTGAAGGTATATGAGCTTCAAGATTGCATTTCCCCTCAGAGATTTGATGTTATGTATGAGCGCCAGGCTGCCAATAGTCAATGTATGAAGCAGTTGGAGCTGCATTGCATTCGGGCTGGATCCAAAACAAACATCTATAAAAGACACATGGTCTCGCAAGAAGGGTTTTCAGGAAGCTTGCGCTCGCGCTCCTGCGAGTTCTTAAGAAAACCATCGGTTTCCCAACCTGTTTATGACATGCTATCACACGGGCTTCGCGCTCGCGCACGTCGCAATCGTTCGAACGCCCTGGCGCGCGCGATGTCGCGAGAACCCTTTCGCAAAAATGCGAAGTGCGCGCGCGTCGTCGCGCGCGCATGCCGCAACCCGTCGACAAAAACCTTGGGTTTCGCAGCGATATCACATCCGAGTTCCCCAGAACCATACAAAAACACATGGTTTCGCAACATCAGTTTTCAAAACAAGCCTGCGCCCGCGCTCCTGCGAATCAATAAGAGAACCATAGGTTTGTCAACATGTTCGTGGAATTCTGTGAAAGGCCATCTCGCGCCGCATGCCGAGATTTTTCGACCGCCCTTGCGCGTGCTGGGGGGCGGGGGAGGGCGCGATCCGCGTCGACTCATGCCGCGCGGGCTACTCTCGCGCGTCGGCCGCGTGATCATGTCGAACTCCTTCCAACGCTTCATCGCCGACGCGAGGGCGCCGTCGCCGTCGTCGTCGGCGCGACTGGCATCGGCGCCGTCGCTGGCCGCGCCGTCGGCGCTGCCATCGCCGTCGCCAGCGCCGCTGCGATCGTCGTCGCGTCTACCGCTGTCGGCGTTGCCATGTTGCCGCGCCCGCCCAAGTCGCCGACTCGCTGTGAGGCGCCCGCTGGAATGCGCCCAGCGGTCCGCGCCGCCGCGGCCGCGTCGGTCGCGCCAAACTAGCTGGCCGCCGCGCGCTTGGATTGGCGCGACCGCGGAGATGCACCAGCCAACGCCGAGCGCTCATCGCAATCGCCGCCGCCGCCGGCGGGTGGGCGGGCGGGATGTTTGCAAGAGCATGGAATGCGTCAGCTCGATTGTGTGTATATATATATACACATATACATGTATATATATACACACATATACATATGTGTGTATATATAAATGGCGCCGCGATTGTTGCGCGGCAAAGACTGCGCCGCGTAGACTGCATCGCGCCGATTTTCCTTTCCAACAAGAGAATGGACCCCCCCCCGAGGCCAGACTTATCCGTGCCCCCCTGGGGATTTGGAATTTACATTTACATATAATTCTGCTTCATCGTCCATCTGAAATATGCATTCGCACTTTCCCAGGGGATCGCGCGCCCCCCCCCCCCCCATCTTCTGCGACGCATTATGTGCGCGCACTCGTATATCAAGAACAATCAGTTTTCAATAATCCCTTGCAGAACGTGGGCCGAAGTGCACGCGCGCGCGTCGTCGCGCGCGCCTGCCGAAATCCTTCAACAATTCCTCGGTTTCGTCGAGGTCTCAAAATCGAGCGCCCAAGAAACATACTCTCAATAAGAAACATGGTTTCGCAGCGCGGATTGACGGAAAAAGCTCGCGCGCGCATTGACATGGTTCGCTCCTGCGAGTTCTGAAGAAAACGATTTGTTCATCCCTGTCAGAAAATGCTGCCAACGGGCTTCGCGCGCGCGTCGAAATCGTCCGAGCGCCTCTGCGCGCGCACCTTCGCGAGAACCCTTTGTAACCGATGGGGCGACGTGCGCGCGCGCGTCGTCGCGCGCGCGTGCCGAAATCCTTCAACACTTGTCGGCGTCGCAAGGAATTCAAGATCGAGTGTCCCAACTTATTTAAAGCACGTGGTTTTGCAACGTCAGTGTTCGAAGAGGCGTGCGCTCGCGCTCGTGCCAATCCTCGAGCAAACCATGGGGTTCTCAACATGTCCATGGAACTCGGCAAAACAAGCCTCTGGCGCCGCGTGCCGAAATCACTCGCGCGCCCTTGCGCGCGGGCTGGGGGGGGGGGGAGCGCGATCCGCGTCGAGTAGTGCCGCGCGGGCCACTCTCGCGCGTCGGCCGCGTGATCATGTCGAACTCTTTTCAAAACCTTCATCGCCGACATCGTCGCCGGCGCAACCTTCATCACCGACGTCGTCATCGTCGAGGGCGCCGTCGCCGTCGTCGTCGGCGCGATCAGCATCTGCGCCCGCGCTGGCCGCGCCGTCGTCTCTGTCGACGTCGCCACCGGCATTGCTATCATCGCCATCGCGTCTACCGCTGTCGACGTCGCCATGGTGCCGCGCCCCCCCAAGTCGCCGACTCGCAGTGCAGTGCCCGCTGGGATGCGCCCGGCGGCCAGCGCCACCGCGGCCGCGTCGGTCGCCCCAAGCCTGCTGGCCGCCGCGCGCGCGTGCTTGGGTTGGCGCGGTCGGCATCGCCACCGGCATCGGTGCTATCATCATCGTGTCTACCGTTGTCGACGTTGCCATGATACCGCGCCCGCCCAAGCCGCCGACTCGCGGTGAAATGCCCGCTGGGGTGCGCCCAGCTGTCAGCGTCGCCGCGGCCGCGTCGGTCGCGCCAAACAAGCCGGCCGCAGCGCGCGCATGCGCGGGCCGGGGCGGCCGTAGAGATGCGCCAGCCAGAGCCGAGTATTCATCGCAATCGCCGCCGCGTGGGTTTCGCGGACCGAGTTGCGGGTGGGCGGGTGGGATGTTTGCGCGAGCAGTGGAGGTGGTCAAGTGCGGTGCAGAGTAGCCACTTCTTTTTCTTCAAACAACAGTAGACTCTATAACCGGTCCCGCCGGATTATCGCCCCCCCCCTCGCGCGCTGCAATTTTCGTGTGATCCTGGCCCATCGTTCATCCGAAATATAAATTTCGCATCATCCCAAAGGGGGCTGGCACCCTGCCCCGCCATCCTGCGCCAAAAATTATGCGCGCGCTCGTTTATCAAAAACCATCAGTTGTCAATCGCGCTTTGCAGAAGAATTGGGCGAAGTGCACGCGCGCGCGCGCGCGCCGTCGCGCGCGCGTGCCGTTGGCTACGCATGGATTTCAAAACTTGCGCGCGCGCTCTTGCGAATTCTGAAGGATGCCATTGGTTTTCAACATTTTCAGAATGTCAGCCAGCGTTAACTCCAGACATATTAAACGATTCAAATCGAGGAATCCGAGGAATCAAGCATGCCTGGAACCCGCAACTCAGCCAGCAAGCGAGCGCGCAAGCAAGCGCGCAAGCGAGCAAGCAAACAAGCAAGCGCGCAAGCAATCGCGCAATCGCGCAAGCGTGCAATCGCGCATGCAAGCAAGCAAGCAAGCAAGCAAACAATCAAGTAAGCAAGCAAGCGGGCATAGGCATAGGCGTAGGCAGAGGCGTTAGTGGGGAGGCATAGGCATAGGCGTAGCCATAGGAATTGGGGGGGGGGCATCGGAATTAGGGGGGCGGGGGGAGGAAACGGACCAATTAGTAGGGTTTGAGCTCGAACTCTTGTAGGGCAAGCCTATTTGGAGAAAGTGCTGCCAAACGGGCTTCGCGCGCGCCATGTCGAAATCGTTCGAGCGCCCTGGCGCGCGTGCCGTCGCGAGAACCCTTTTGCAAAACAAGTAGCGAAGTGCACGCGCGCGCGCCGCGGCGCGCGCGTGCCGAAATCCTTCAACAACCGTCGGCGTCGCAAGGAATTAAAAACTGAGTGCCCCGAACAACAGATCAAGAACACGTGGTTTTGCAACGTCAGTGTTCGAAACAAGCGCGCTCGCGCTCTTGCGAATTCTTAAGAAGACCAGAGCTTTCTCAACGCGTTCATGGAATTCTCCCAAACAGGCCTCTGGCGCCGCATGCCGGCATCATTCGCGCGCCTTTGCGCGCGTGCTGGGGGTGGACGGGCGCGATCCGCGTCGAATAATACCGCGCGGGCCACTGTCGCGCGTCGGCCGCGCGCGCGTCGAACTCTTTCCAGAACCTTCATCGCCGACGCGAGGGCGCCGTCATCGTCGTCGGCGCGACCAGCATCGGCGCCCGCGCTGGACGCGCCGTCGTCGTTATCAACATCGCCACCAGCGCTGCGACTACCATCGTCGCGTCTACAAGTGTCGACGTGGCCATGATACCGCGCCCGCCCTAGTCGCCGACTCGCAGGGAAGTGCCCGCTGGGATGTGCCCAGCGGTCAGCGCCACCGCGGCCGCGTCGGTCGCGCCAGACTAGCTGGCCACTGCGCGCGCGTGCTTGGGTTGGCGCGGTCGCAGAGATGCATCGGCCGACGCCGAGCACTCGTCGCAATCGCCGCCGCACGGGTTTTGCAAACCACGTGGCGGGTGGGTGGGCGTGGCGTTTGCAAGAGCGTGGAACGTGTCAGCTCGTTTGTAAAAACCAATGGCACCACATATATTGATTGCGCCACAAATCTTGCACCACATAGGTTGCGCAAATCCGGTTTCTGGGTATTTGTTTTCTTTCTCAAAGAGTGTCCTTTCCAGGTGTGGGTGGCGGCGTCAAT